TAATTTTTTGGGGGGTGGGGGGGAGGTACCATTGCTGTGGCTAATTCTCTTTGTACAATCACAGCACATTTCTTGTTGAAGAAGTGAAATGTATCTCTTACTCTGAGAGAAGATAACAGTCTTTGCTTCCCGTCTCTCTTCTTCATGCTTGCAGTTCTTCCACACATCCTGAAACCAAACCCAGCCTTAACTTAATCAAGCGCAGGAATTCAGAACTGACTTTCTGCCATATAAAACTAGGTGTGTTTGCTATGAAAATGTGGGCTGGGATCCCAAGGGCCACTTTAGAGACTCTGAAGGCCAGCTTTGTTTTTGGAAGCACTGTTATGTAAATCACCACTAAATTTTCAAGTCTTAGTGACTTCTATGACTAAGTTGCTTTCAGGTATTTTCACAGAAGATGATTGATGATAAGGAAGCAAAGTCACTAAGTGCTGTTAGAGCATTTGGGGGGGGGCAGGTTCTGCCTAACTATGACATGTAAACAGGGTGCTCCTGGGCTTTTTATGTGAAACAAGCAATTCCTTGGGCTACTTGTTTTATGATGACTTTTTCAGACATGTTTGTATGATGTTGCACCCAGTATTGGGAGTCTTCTTTAAAAGTTTGCTAATCTTATCTGGGCACAGTTATCCTCACCAGCCTGCAATACCTCTTTTACTTCAATTTCATCCATCTTTTATATTTCTACCATGGTTGCTGTTCCTTTGTCTTTTTCTCTGCTTTCCAGTACTAGGGGGATTATCTCTAATTGAGCTTGTCCTCTTGCTGGCTACATCCACATTGCTTTTTGGTAGCAATAAGCAATTTTTATTTCCCAGTCTAGACTACAGCCATGGAATTTCCTGATGGTTTTCCATCCAAATACCAATCAGATCCAATATCCTCAGCCTTTTGATAATGAGCCAAGGTTACTGTGGTAAGCATATGCAGACACACATGGATGCACACAAATCCTGTTTTTTTTGGCGGGGGGGAACACATTCAAGTCAATGTTGATATCTGACAATTGTCTGGACACAGACAACAAGTTGAGACAAATAAATGGCACAATCAATGCCTTTCACCTTCAGAACTATCCTTAACTTAGTGAAGAATTTCTCCCCACCCTTAAGAACTAATGCATAAAGTTAAGTATACAAGAGGGTTCAAAATATGGTTTGTACCATTTCTAAATGGTTAAACAAATATTTTGGAAAGAATGAGGAAAACAACAGAAGGAGAAGACCACACACAAACTCACATGTACACGAACACTGTGACATTCCTTGTTAGAGCTACAAACCTGTAAAATCCAAACCACAACTTTGCTATATGGTGTCAAAAATACCAAAGATAATTAAAATATTGCACTGATAATGTTACCTAGTTCGGCAATGAAACATCTGCAAGCAAACAAGTAAGCTTCTTACTTAATTTTTTCCTTCCTGAGCCTGGATAATTCTCACCTCTATTCATATAGGCCAGGGCCCCATATAATCCGATCTGGCTTGTGGACCACCAACAATAAAAATGTACAAAGTAAATTCTATTTTTATGGCATATATCCAAGATCAGCAAAGTTAATGTTTCTGTTGGTTTCTGTGGAACTGACTTCTTAATCTTAATGGTGCTTTAAAAAAGAAAGGAAAATGCCAGAGAGTGAAAAAAGCAGAATCAGAGATTAAATGGAAAGTTGTTTAAAAAAACGAAGCTCCTTTTATGGTCCTGTTCAGTTAGTTCAGTTCTTCAATACAATCTGGTTTCAAGGTATTATCTTAAACTTTGGGACAGAGGTCTCCAAACTTGAGAACTTTAAGACTTGTGGACTTGTGGCTATGCTGGCCGAGGAATTCTGGGAGCTGAAGTCCACAACCCTTAAAGTTGCCAAGTTTGGGGACTCCTGCTTTGGGACTACCAAAGTGCTTTGAATAATCATGATTCCATTACATGTGATAAAGCAGGTTTTCCAAACCCTGGGCACTTCTTAGTGTGTAGATTTCAATTAAATTTCAGAAGTTTTAGTAATAGATGTGAGCTGAAGTCACACATTAAGAGGGTTGGTGTGGTGAACTGTGTGCATAGCTTTCCCCATCCTGGTGCCTTGACAACAATTCCTAGATTCTAAGTCAATAAAATCACTATACAGTAGATACCTTGTGGTCCTTGACCATTCATACTGAATTCCTCCTTATTTCTCCTGCAGCCAAATATAGAAATGATATTGCTTGTAAGACTACAATATCAATACAGCTGACCAGGATTCCTGATATAGTAAAATGGGCAGCATATAAATTTAAGAGATAAATAAGTAAAGAAAATAAAATATGCATCTTGTTAAAATATGCATCAACCAAGAAGATTTTGGAAGGGCAGACTTTAGTATATAAACAAGAAGCAAACCCCATACTCACTGACACTGATGATATTACCTAGTTGGGTAGTGAAATGTCTGCAAGCAAACAACTAAACCCTAAAAGCACCAAAAATTCCACAATTGAACCTTGAGTTACAAATACTCTATTCCAATTAGCATCTTGTTTATTAGACAAACCAGTCAGATTGCAGACCATGTGGATGGGCAGGAGGAATTCAACTCTTCCTCTTCCATTAATAAAAAAACCTACTCTTCCAAATGTATTATTTGCATTATAATATGTGACTTGTGCTTAATATTTGAGTTTCCCATTCCTGATAAACAAACTAGTTATTTTCTACTTTATGAGTACATTTAAACAAGTCTTCCCCAAACAAATGCTCTCTAGAAGGGTTGGACAGGTTACCATAAAACTGACCCAGTATAGCTAGCATAGCAGAGAATTATGAGAGTTTTGGTACATATGAACAACATACACTGAATGAAAAAGACCTGAATTTTGAAGAAAAGAGAATGTAGAAAGTTGGGCAGAGAAGGGACAGGCAGACTGCTATCCCCTCCCCTTAATTTTTTGTTTACATGGCTGTATATTCTTGACTAAGTCAGGAGAAATTAGAATTAAAGCATTCCTTATAGATAATTGTCTACCTGAAGCATCCGGTACAGGAAAAACAAACTTTTATCTTTATGGAGCTTTTAAAATTCAGAACAGTGGTGGGCAGCAGAATGTTCTTTGTTTATTTTACTCAGTTATTTGATTTACACCCTGAATTCTACTCTGGCAAGTTCTCAAGACAGCTGGCAAACATTAAATCCAAATCTTAATTTAATTAGAAATAAGAATTGGTTTATTTTGACTCAGATCGCTGGTCCATTATTCAGCACTTTCTACCCAAGTTTCAAAATAAGAAATCCCTGAACACTGTCATTACTTCCTCTAAGCGGAAACTAGCATTTCTTTTTTTCTTATTATATTTATATATTATTTATATAACAAATGTCTCAAACACAGCTTTCAAAGAAATAAAACCAAATGATATATATAAAGTCACAATAAATATATGCAAGGTTGTAAGAAGCAATAGTGCAAAAAAACAATGACATGCCAAAGAAAACTAATTGCTTCAAGCCAAAAATCTGACAAAAAAGTCACTCTATTATTATACTGTAGAATGCAAAGTGAAGAAAAGTTTGATGTTTACAATCAGTGCCATTTGGATAAAAGAAATCAAGTGAAGGTGTGGATACTCCATTGAATGAGGCACCAATGTGCGCGCTATTATGTTGATGCTTGTTAAAAGGGACGGGAATTTGATTATATATAATTATGCCTGTTATTTTGATTTAAAAAAAAACTTCCCATGGATGCCAACGCTTACTAGATTCGGCAAATGTAAGAGGGGCCTCTATATATGTATGCAATGAACCTGATTCTTGGGCCAGTCAAGTTTCTGTCCCACTCAGGAGAAATTATATTATATTATATTTCTCAGCAAACCCCACACTTATTTGTACTCATGTTACCTAGTTTGGTAATGAAATCTCTGCAAGAAAACAGCATGCTCAGAGATTATAGAACTCAGGTCAACCATGAATAGTTATTTTGATATTATACATATTAATTCGTATTTACATGTGTCTGTCTATCATTTACCAGTAAGACACTGTGTAAGCAACATACTTACTCTGCTTCACAGCAGTAAAACTAAATTGAGTAAAAAAATTGAGTAAAACTATATGACCAATTCAAACATCCAGGGTAAATTTCATTAAAATTAAAAAAGTAAACAGATAACAGATATTCAGAGTTGAAAGGGACTTTGTAGGTCATCTAGTCCAACCCACCCACCCCCGTCCAAGTGGGAGACCCTACATCATTTCTTACAAATGGCAGTCCAATATCTTCTTGAAGGTCTCAAGTAATGGCAGTCCCACAACTTCCGAGAGAAAGCTGTTCCATTGGTTGATTGTTCTCACTGTCAGAAAGTTTCTCCTTATTTCCAGGTTAAATCTCTCCTTGTTCAGTTTCCATCCCTTATGTCTTGTCTGGCCTACAGGTGCTTTAGAAAACAGCTTGACCCCCTCCTCCCTGTGGCAGCCCCTCAGACCTCTATCACGTATAAACAAAATATACAACTAAATGTAGAAGTATGGAAAATGAAATACAAAATATGGAACACAACAATTACATTTATTTAAAATGTGGATAATTAACTAATCATCCAATATTTACACAGTGTGTATGTTATTCTGTGTTGGGAGTGAAGGATGTTTGAACTCTCTTAGATGGACTGTCTAAAGGAGCGTGTCTCGGAGTAGGCAGGCGTTACTCCAGAACCTTGGCCCTTCCCGGCGGAGTCACTCGGGCTTTCCCGCAACAGAGTCCTCTTGCAACGCGTCCGCCAGGTCAGCCAAACGATCCCGGCGGGGTCACCGGAAACGCCCTCCAGAAATCCCCGGGGCTGCAGCGGCAGGGCGGAGTGCCAGGGGCCGTGGGAGGAGCAGGAAGGCGGCCACCCTTCACATGGCCCTGCCTGGGGCGACAGGATCGACCCACGCTCTCGCTCCCCCCAGTCGCTGCAGCCTCGGGCGGAGCGAGGCGAGCGGGATTCGAACCTGAGTCAGAGACGCGGGGAGCCTCTTGGCGGAAGCGACGCGGGGGATCCGGGAAGCCAGAGGCGCCTTCGCTGCGTCCCACAAGCATCCGAAAGCCGGCAGTGGATATAGTCTAGTGGTTGATCGGGGAAGGAGCCTGGCGGCCGCGATGCAACTTCTCCGAGGTTTTCTGGTAGCTCTTGCTCTGCATGTGGTGGGCGCGCAGGTGAGGTGAACTTCGGAACTGGCTGATTAATCGTTCCCGATCTCTGGAGGAGATTTGGGGGGGGGGGTGGATGTGTGCCGGAGCTTCGTATTTCGTATCCTCAGTGTGTTTGCTGGGCGTGTGGTGCCCGAATCCGCTACTCTCCCGTGTCACTTTCCTTGGTCTCGTAGTGGTGCTTGCGATCGTGTCCCCTGATCTTCTCGGAGAGGATGAAGCGATGATATTATTATTATTATTATTATTATTATTATTATTATTATTATTATTATTATTATTATTATTA